GCTGCGGTCACACATGGTGTGGCTGTGGTCACTACCCCATGGTGTGGCTGTGGTCACTACCCCATGGTGTGGCTGTGGTCACTACCCCAGCTGTCTCACTGTCCCCAGGAGCCCTGCGTGGCTGCACTGGCACGGGTGGAGCGGACAGACTTTCTCTCGCCCATGTGCATCGGTGAGGTGGCCAATGTCAGTGCCGAGATCACCTACACCTCCCGGCACTCCGTGGAGGTCCAGGTTAACGTCATGTCTGAAAACATTTTAACAGGTGGGTGGCTGCCTGTGGCTGTGTCCCAAAACTCCAGGAATAATGGTGATAAGTCAAGAGCTCACAGTGGTGATCCCGTCTTTCACTCCATCACTGGCAGCATGGGGCAGAGGGGAGGTCTTACCTGTTTATTGAGAGTGCTGGGGGTGTGGGGAGAGTTGGCACTGGGAAGAGAAGCCAAGCAGTCTCCCTGGGGGTTACGGCTCCATTGATCTTTTTTAGTGAAGAATGGCAATATCTGCTCGTAGCTCCTCCTGCCTGATTCGCTGCCCGTTTGGCCTGAAAAAGGCCCTTTTCCTGCTGTTGCTGTGGCAACTAGCTCCACTTGCCAGGATGCCTTTCCAAAAGTGCATTGTCACATCTGCTGTGAGCCAAGGCCCGTCAGAAGCCAGCAGGGCGAGGGGCCACTGGTGCTGGTGGCATCACTGGTGTGTGGCCAGCCCGAGATCAGCGGCAGACACAGCACTGCTGGCCTTGGCACTGTCACCTTCTGCCCCCTTCTCCTCCAGGGGCAAAGAAGTTGACAAACAAGGCGACGTTGTGGTATGTGCCTCTGTCCCTGAAGAACGTGAACAAGGTCCTTGAGGTTCCCCCCATCCAGGTAGGACAGCTCACTTTGGTCCCCCAAAACTGGAACTTGGCCTCTCTGGGGAATGGCGCTAACCCAACCCTGTCGGCACCCTTGGCTGTGCTGGTGGCTTTGCTGCCCTGTTCTTACCAGCCTTCCCTTCCAGTACACGAGAAAGGAGCAGGAGGACGAGGGGAAGAAGCGTTATGAGGAGCAAAAGCTGGATCGGCTGGAAACGAAGCAGAGAAACGGCGACGTGATCTTCCCCGTCATCAACCCAGGTAACTCGGGCTGTGTGTGCTCAGTGCAAATGGCCCAGCAGTACTGGGAGGCCAAACTGATCCCCGAGGCAACTCCAGCCATCCCCAGGGCCCCGTAGCTCTGTGTGTGTTCTGAAACACTGTGTCAGGGATGGGAATGGGATTTTGGAGTCCACAGTGTGTGAGGAGAGGGTGGGCAGCTGTGATGCCGCATGGGGGGGCTGGCGGGTGGGATGCTCTCTTCAAAAACCCTGTTTCTGCACCACTCCTTGTATCCCTTGTGCACTCCTGGGCAGCTGGAGCTGGTTTTGCTCAGCAGGGGATAAATGCAAGCGTTGGGCAAGGGTGTCCTCCAGGCCCGGCCACGGTCCTAGGGCAGAAGCAGAGAGGTGGCACACAGGGAATGTTGGGGGATGATGGGGGATGAAAGTTGCTCAAATGCTTTTTTCCCCTCTATCCTCCCTGCTCACAGACAGGCAGACAAAAGGTAAGGCTCGGTGGGTCCTGCTGTGTGGGTGCCTGCCCTAAGTGGTCGGGGGCTTGGCTGGTTTTCCCTGCTTTGAGCTCCTTCAGCATCTCCTATTAGATGGAAAGTGCAGAGGATTTCCTCTGCTGGCAGTCAGAGGGTGTGACTTCTGTTGCCTTGAGGTGGTGGTGGGACAGGGGTTACCAGCATGTGCCAGGGCTGGGAGCGTGGGGGCCGAGGTATTCCTGCCAAAGGGAAAGCTGAGGCTCTGTACAGCAGGGTCAGGGAGGTTCAGCTGAGGAGGGAAGAGTACAGCCATATGCCCCAGTTCAATCCCATTTGCTTTCATGCTCTTGAAAAGAAACAAATGAGCTGAGCTAGAATAAAATGGATGGGTGGGGATTAGAGGGAGGCAGCAGTCAGGGACAGCCTCTGGTTTGAACACAGTTCAGCTTTGCACAAGCCAGCCCCACGTTTTCTTCCTTTGGACGACTTAAGGCAGGGGTGTACAGTGGTGTACGGGTGCCAGCCGAGCAGCTCTGACCCTGCTTTGCTCTCTAACCAGAGCCACACACCGTGGGCTACAGCCAGTCCAGCCTGATCCACCTGGTGGGCCCGTCAGACTGCACGCTGCTGGGCTTCGTGCATGGAGGTGAGTGAGCACTGCCCTGGGCAGCACTCGGCAGCAGCTCTGGGTGGCTTTTCCCCAGAGCAGAGTTGCTTCAGCTGAGACAAAAGCTTTGTTTCTGTGCCCCCAAAACTGACACGCTCAAACGGTAAATCCTACAGTTCTGTCATAGTCTCTGAGATCGCAAATCCCAGAGGCCAAACACACAGCATACAATGAGTGCAATTAGCTGGAGTCATTTCCTCTTGGCTGGCAGTGTCTGTTGCTGCCGGGCTGGCATGTGCAGTGTGAGCCAGGGGAGGGGCGAGTTTGCCAAGGACTGGGACGACACACATCTAACCATGTCCATAAAAACAAAACCAGCGTGGCTCAGAGCTGCTTTTCCAGTCTTCAGGCCAGGTCTGTGAGGATGTTGCCTTGGTGTTGACTGGAGTCCTTGTGCTGGTACTGGGTTTTCCTGAAGCTGGGACTCGGTCTTTGATCTGACTCCTCAGCGTAGCTTTGGCCGTGCAAAGGCCTTACTGACCTATGTGTGGCTTTTCCCAAATCCCACCAGCTTCCCTGAGACAGGACCCTCTGCTTCCTCTCCCAGGTGTCACCATGAAGCTCATGGATGAGGTTGCTGGGATTGTGGCCGCCCGCCACTGCAAGACCAACATCGTCACCGCCTCGGTGGATGCCATCAACTTCCATGAGAAGATCAAAAAAGGTACCGAGGGTGCTGGCAGGCACCCACGGTGCCATGTCCTGGCTCCCTTGTGCGTGTGCTCGGGATAGACTGGCAGAGAAATTTAGTCCCTGTTAGATTCGTCCTGTGAAAAGAAGCTCTGCTTAAGGCACAGCTTAAGCATAAAACATGCAGGACCTCTTGCTCCCCTCACTGGCCCCTCTCTGCTTCGCAGGCTGTGTCATCACCATCTCGGGGCGCATGACCTTCACAAGCAATAAATCCATGGAGATTGAAGTCTTTGTGGATGCCGACCCGTTTGTGGATGAGCCTCGGGAGCGGTACCGTGCCGTCAGCGCCTTCTTCACCTACGTGTCCCTGAGCAAGGAGGGGAAGCCCCTGCCTGTCCCACAGCTGCTGGTAAGAGCTCTGCCCCCAGGCTGGAGCCAGTGGGGCCAGCACCTCTTCTGCTTCTCTCAGGGCAGAGCCCAGCAGGCTTTGCTTCCAACAAATCCTCTTCCCTTGAATTATTCAGCAGAAAAATATGAGTACAAAGGAGACTTTCCAGAGCAGGCTGCAGGGTTTCTTTTTGTTTGTTTTTTTGGTTTTTTATTTATTTCTTTTGAACGTTGCCAATGTGGAGGTTGGGGGTTTTCTCCTTTCTCATGGTTGAGGACAGGCTGAAGCAGGGGACTGTGAGCAGCGATGGAGGCCCCCATGTTCTCTGTCCCTGCTCCCCATGATGTCCCCACTCCCGCCCTCCTGCCTATTTTTAGCTCCCCTGATCCTGGCAGGGCTTTGATGCGTTGCTGCCGTCTGGGGGTGTTTTTTGGTTAATATTTGATGTGGCGCAGGTCTCCTGCTCTGTGCAGGAGCACACTGGCTGTCATGGTGCGTGTTTCAGGGAGGGCAGCTTTCCCCTCATTTCCATGGGGGATGGCACATTTCCCTCCTGTGAGCGCTTGCAGCGCTGACACTGGGGCTTTGCTTTCTGTGGCTGCAGACAGAGACGGAGGACGAGAAGCGGCGCTTTGAGGAAGGGAAGGGCAGGTACCTGCAGACCAAAGCCAAGCGGCAGGCGCAGATGCAGCAGGCTGCCCAGCAGTGACCTGCCCTCCGCTCTTGCTGCCAGCGCCCGCCAAACATCCAGGTTGTTCCCGTTTGTGTTGTGTCTGGTCCGCGCCTCCACTCGCCCCTGCCGCCGCTGGCACCGCTGCTTCGCTGCTGGTGGGCTCAGCACCGCACACCTCGTGCTTCAGGTGGCACTGAGAGCCCCTGGGAGCCCTCCCGGGCGCTTGCCATCTGCCTCCGGAGCTGTTGTCGCTGTTTGACTCCCCATGCCGGAGTGGGATGGAGGCGTGCGGCGGCTCGGGGGGCGTGTGGGGCTGTGAGTCCTTGTGCTGCCATGTTCAACTCGCTGGTTTGTCCTACCATGCACACCAAAGCTTTCGCAAGTGCGGCGCCGGGACCGCATTGAATGTCTGTGACATCTCTAGGTAGTTCTCTGTGCACATCTAAGTTATTTAAGGAACCTTGTGGCATTAATAAAGTCTGTTTCATTGACTGGAATAAAAGGCTGACACCTTTATTTCAAGCAATTGTGCTTTTCCCCACTCCTGCCTCCCCAGGATCCACCCACCGTCCCCAAGTGGTGCCTTGTGCTCCCGCCCTGGGTTTTAAGGAAGTGTGGCTCTTTTAACGGGACTGCGCAGTTCCTGCCGGGATGGGTGTCCCGGTTTGGGCTATTAAACAACAAACTACCAGAAAGGAGTTTGTAGTGAGGTGAGGGCCGATCTGTTCTGCCGTGCCCACAGTGAGCGGCCTGGAGGACATGGCCTTAAGCTGACACAGGGAGGTGCAGATCAGATATCAGACAATGTTCTCCCCGTTCGGGCACTGGAAGGGGCTGCCTAGGGCGGTGGTGGTCACCATCCCCAGCGGTGTCCAGAAGCGCCCAGGCCCGGCGCAGGGCCGTTCCCCGCTGTGGGGCCGCGGGGCCGGTGCCGGTGAGACCGGACGATCCCACCGCTGTCCGCGCCCGCCGCGCAACTCTCGCGAGAGCGGCGTCGCTGCAGGGCGGTGGCGGCGGGAGCGGGGCGGAGCTCTCGCGAGAGCGGCGCGGTGGTTTCCCGGGCGACGCGGGCGGGGCGGGGCCGCCATGATGGCGGCGGCGGCGGCGCGGCGGGGCCGGCTGGGCCGGGAGGGCCGCGCCAGCCTCGGCTCCTTCCTGCTCGGCGCCTCGGTGGCGGCGCTGCCGCTGCTGCTCGGCTCGTCCCCCGCCCTGCTGGCCGCCCCTGGCCTCCGCGGCCGCCTGGCGCTCGCCCTGCACGTGGCCGGCGTGAACGCGGCGCTGCTGCTGCTCTACCCGCGGCCGCTCTACAAGGTGCGGGGACGGCCCGGGGGAGCGGGGCGGGGGGCGGCCGCGGAGGGGCCGGTGCTGGTCCCGCTGCCGGGGGGCGGCGATCGGGAGCCACCGGGCCCGGGGAGCGGCGGCGGCAGCGCGTTCTCCCCTTCCTGTGCTTGCAGATCGCCGTCCGGGCCTGTTTCCTGGGCTTTGCCTTCGGCTGCGGGGTGCTGCTGAGCGCCGGCCGCTCCGCCTGGCGCCACTTCGGATGGTAAGGGCCGGGCCGGGCCGGGCAGACGCGCTGCCTGGCCCTGCCAAACCTGTCCTCCCTTCCTCCCGCCGCAGGTACATGTGCTCCCTCTCCCTCTTCCACTACTCGGAGTACCTGGTGACAGCCATCAACAACCCACGCAGCCTCTCGCTGGACTCCTTCCTGCTCAACCACAGCTTCGAGTACAATCTGGCTGCCCTGTCCTCCTGGGTGGAGTTCACTCTAGAGAAGCTCCTCTTCCCAGGTCAGCCACCCTGTCCTTCCCTGGCTCTGCCCGGCTGCACGTGTCTTGCCTGTGTCCCACCTGTCCCTTAGCAAAGTGTAGGTGACCCCTGGCTCACTGTCCCGTGCCAGTCCTGGAGCAGCTTTACCAGGACCTTAATCCCTCTTTGCTCATAGCCTCTTGAGTTGGGTCTTGGGGGGCACTGGAGATCTCCCCTTTGCCCTGAGATGCCAGGCTAAGGGGTCTTCGGCCCTTTCCTGCCTTACTGGTACAAGAATAACACTTTGAGTACACCTGGGCATTGTCTTTTGACCAGGAATAAAATCAAACTGGGAAAAACTGTTGCTGTTTGCCCAATCTGGGGCAAATGGGTTGTGTTCTTCCGCTTGTTTTTGCGAGAGGGAAGCTGTTGCCCTTTCTTGTTTCATAACAGCCCCAGCGTGCCCTTGGCTGTGCTTTGTGCTGGCTTTGCTCAGCCCCTAAATCCAGGCCCTGCAGGGTAATCCGTGCTGAGGCTGCGGTGACGCTGGGCAGGGGGTGCTGGTTTTATCTCTTTGCTGGGTGGCTGCTGCTGCCACATGTTGTGCTTCAGGGTGGGGGGCAGAGCCACCGAGCTGCCCCCGTGCCCCCCCACAGGAGCTGTGCAAACCCGCTGTGCCCCTCCCTGTCCACGCAGAGCTGAAGCAGATCACCTGGCTGAGCACCGTGGGGCTGCTGATGGTGATCTTCGGGGACTGCCTGAGGAAGGCGGCCATGCTCACAGCCGGCTCCAACTTCAACCACATTGTGCAGAACGAGAAATCCGACACCCACACGCTGGTGACCAGTGGGGTGTACGGGTGGTTCCGGCACCCGTCCTACGTGGGATGGTTTTACTGGAGCATTGGAACACAGGTACCATATCTGACATGGGACACATGCCTTCGTGTCGTGACCCAGGTCTTTGCTCTCCATGCTGCCCACGCCGTGATGGGTGCAGACAGTGTTCTGCAGAATGGGTGCCCTGACTCTGCTGCCTCCCACGGGCACACAGGGAACCAGGAATCCCTGAGTGCCCTGCCTCATGCAATCTATGGGAAGATCCCACTGCCTTAATTTTCTCAGTGCAATAAGCAGGGGTGGTGGGGCTGAGGTTTGAGCCAGAACCCCCTTGGAGGCCTGGGACGTGATCTGCTGCTGGTCTAAAGCTAGCGTCCAGAGTTTCCTGTATCCCTGTGGCCAAAATGCCTTCTGTGAGCAGTCAAACTCAATCTGGCTTCTGCCAAACACCAGTCCTGTGCCAAAGGGCAAGTAAACTCCCTCTGAGAGTGCCCAGGGCCCCAGCCAGAGGATCAGCTCTGGCCAGCTGTGGTTGAGCTGTAGCTCAGTGCTGCCGTAGCCACGTGTTCTCGTGGCTGGCTGGGAGTTGGCATTGGGTTGTTTCTCTGGAGAGGGACGTAAGGGTGGCACACAGAGCTCTCGAGAGCCAGGGCAGCAGGAGCTGCCTGCACACCACTGCCTTCTTTCTGGGGAGAAATTAGTATTTATGAAGTTTCACAAGGGTTGTTGGGAGCTTTTTTTGGAGAGCGTTTAGAGCCCATGGCGATGTTACCGGGGTGGGATGAGCCGTGGGGATGGGGCAGCCTCAGGCTCTCGAGGGGACACTCATGAGTGGCCTCTGTTCCAGGTGTTGCTCTGCAATCCCATCTGTGTGGTCGGCTATGCACTGGCGTCCTGGCGCTTCTTCAGGGAGCGGATCGAGGAGGAGGAGATCACACTCATTCACTTCTTTGGAGAAGAGTACCTGGAGTACAAAAGGAAGGTGCCATCGGGTCTCCCTTTTATTAAAGGAGTCAAATTGGAACTGTAGTGCAGGTGAAAACCAGACTGGCTGAGCAAACGCCCGGCTCCCGCCGTGCCAGGTGCCTGCTGGCGTCGGTGTCGGGATGTGCCTGGTGGTATTTCCCAGCCACCCAGAAGGAGCTGGTGGAGGGCTGTGGCACTGGGCAGCCTGCCAGGATTCTTGCAGATCAGAAGCTCGTTCCTCCTCCTCGAGATCAGCCCTTCATTGCACATTCAGGGATCTTCCAGATAACTTAGCCTGTAGTGACCCTAAAGAGAATGAATCGTCCTGCCTGCAGCAGCTGAATTGTCCTGGAATGCGTCCGGACCAATTCTGCTGGAGAGCAGCACTGCCCTCTGGGCCCCGGGCAGAGGAGGCGCTGGGCAGCAGATTGTTCCTGTTGCATAATTCAATTTTAAAGCTTTCTGACCTCGTGAGCCCAGTGCTGCAGCTTTAATCTCCTCGGGCCCGACTCCTTCAGCTGGCACTGGGGTGGCCATGGGAGCAGCCTCCGGCTCTGCCCGCCCTCAGAGCGCTGGCAGTGTGGCACCACTCGGCTGTCTCCAGGCCTTGGCATCCACAGGGAGAGATCCAAGCACCTCTGAGCCTGCTCCTTCTCCCTCAGCTGCTGCTGCGGATGCGGAGTCATCGCTGCAGCCGCTGCCTCCCGCCGCCACCTCTGTTCCCTCTTCCCGCTTCCAAATCACGCTGCTTCCTATCCTGCCAGGCCACCTCTGTCCTGCAGAGATCCCAGGATTTTGGGTTGGGAAAGAACCACAGCTGCCAGGCTTGCTAAGGGCTTTAGCACCCGAGATCCTCACCTGCTCTTTTGGGCAAAAGCCAGGATGTCGGGGCAAGTAGGAGATGCTCCTAGGGAAATCTCCAACCAGGAGAAGAGTTGGGCTAGCTAACACTCTTTTAAATGTGACCATTTTGAAATGGTTCCCACTGAGCTGTGTGGCATAACTTATTCTGTCGTTATATACCAAAGAGGTTCACTGTTTCCTTGAGTTCTACATTATTCTTCCTCGCTGGAATGGAAATGAGTTGCTTGTCAGTTCACGCCTGGGGCTTGTGGTGTTCCGTGGGGAAGGCGCTGCGGTATGGCTCAGGAAGGGGCACTGGTGGGAATGGCTTGGGTTTGGGCTTGGGTTTTCTTTTTTTATAAAAAAAACAAGAGAAAACATTGCCAACTTCTGTCTGATGATTATTTGAAGGTCTCTCGAGGTGCTGGTGGCATGGAAACTGGAATCCTTACTTTATAGTTCCCGGTAGGTTTTCAGAACACTCCATTGTGGCGTCGAGGCACAACTTTGTGTGTTCCTGCCTCTGCCCTGCACCAGGGGTTGGTATTTACTTCCTCCCCCTGCATAATTTGCAAATGTTGTGGTTTTAGGAGCAGCTGGACACCCCAAGCCAGCAGATCCCTTCTGTCAGGGCCGCAGAACCACACGGACACAAACACTTGCGCCCTTTTATTTCACTCCAGCACACATGAGGGAGAGCACAAAGACAATTAGTTTTTCAGAACCAGGTTCCCCTGAGGCTTTTGGATGCACCACAGACATGGGTGCCTGGCCTGTTTCCTGCCCTGGCTCATGGCACAGGGCGAGAGGAGCTGGTCAGCAGCCCGGGCACGGCTCTGCCCAGTGGCTCTGCTGTGTGCCCGGTGCCGGGCTCTATGGTGCCGGCTCTTTCTGGGCAGTGCTCTCGGCCCCGCTCTTCTGCTGGCCCCTGCAGCAGTCTTTGCTTTTTGGGGAGGGGTCTCTGGGGGTGCCATCAGGCACACAGCCCTCCCCGGGGCTGGCCGGAGCCCCCTCCTTTCCCAGAGCCCCCTCCTTGCCGCTCGGCGAGGCATCCCTGGGGAAGGGAAGGCACCTTGGCAGTGTCAGTGTCTGGGAAAGGGCACAGGGGGAATGTGGCACTTGCTGTCTCCTACCTTGGCACTGCTTCACTGTTGTCGCAGATCTTGAGCAGCATCTGGGCCTGTTCCTCCTTGGGCTCCCGGGGCTCCTGCAGCCTGCAGCAGGATGGGTGTGAGCCGCGGCTGCGTCCCCCTCTGGCCCTGAAAGCCCCCGCGCCCCTCACCTGGGCTCCAGCCGCTCCTTCACCTTGGCGATGGAGCGGACGTAGGGCACGATCTGCTTGGTGATGGTGCTCAGGCAGCTGTTCTCCTGCCTCAGCTGCAGCAGGTCATGGAGCTGGGCTGGGGGTGAGAGAAGTGGGCTGGGGGATGGCGGCTCCCCAGCACTGGCACAGGGGGCTCAGGGAGGGGGAGTGGGGTCACCGGTACCTTCATAGATCTCCTGCTCGTTTGCCACCCGCTGGTAAGTCTCCTCCCAGACCTGGAAGGAGGAGAGGGAGCTGGGCAGTGAGCAGCAGTGTGGATGGAGGGGCCCTGCTCCCCTGCCAGCCGTACCTCCTCGAAGACGCTGCGCATCATCTCCACGGCAGAGTAGTGAGCTGCGATCTGCACGTCCATCTGCAGGGACTTCTGCAGGATCTCACTCATGATCTCTGACTTGATGAGTGAGTGGTGCTTGGTGAGGTCGCGATGCAGCTCCTGGACCTGGTCCTTCAGGCCCTGGATCTCCATCTGCAGCATCTGTGGTGCCGGGGGCCAGGGCCACGTGAGCAGCACTGCCCCGGCCCCTCCTGCCCTGCCCCAGCCCACCCTGACCTGCACTCCCTACCCGGTAGGTGTTCTCGTAGTTGCGGCAGTGCTCGGCGAAGGGGGTCTCGCGCCCCTCGGCCAGGAGCACCTTGGTGCTGATGTACCGGTGCATCGTCGGCTTCCTCACCATGGGGCTGGTGGACATCTTGTCACTTGAGGGGGGACAGCCGGGCACCATGAGGGTCTTGGAGCATTGGCCACCAGGGAGCCTGCAGGGAGAAGTGACAGTGACACGCTGCAGGTGAGCAGTGGCGGGGGAGAGGGGCCAGGGGCCACGCCGTCAGCTCAGTTCCAGCTCAGCCCCACTGCCCCTCAGCCCTGCTAAGCCTGGGGATGTGCCAATGCCCTGTGTCCCTTCCCTCGCCCCTATGTCCCTTCCCTAGCCTGAATGCAGGGGCTTAGTCAGAGGTGCCTTATGCTGCCCCAAAAATCAGGTTGCTGTGGGCTGCTCTCCCTGTCCCTGTGGCTTTGGGACCAGCTGCAGCAGGGAGAAGGCAGGAGCTGAGGTCAGCACACTCCATTTTCTAAAGGGCAGGATGCAGCTCGCTCCCTCACCACCGGTATCTCCTGGCCCCTTGGCGGGCGTCACTGCCCCTGTGTCCCCTCCATCCCGTGGCCTCCCCGTGCTGCCCACCACCATCGGTCCTACCGTGCAGTGCCGCGCTCCCCCCGCCCGTGCCGGGGCCAGCAGCCCCCAGGAGCTCAGCCACCCTGCGGCGCCGAGCCCAGCCGGGGGCGAGGAGTGGTCCCCATGGGGCGGCAGCGCCTGTTTGTCCTCTCTGGCCGGGAGGGCCTGGCAGGGCCAGTGCTGCTGTGACATCAACAGGCCTAAATATATCCCGGGCGAGGAACCGCCGGGCACTTCCCTGAAATTCTGATAAAAATAGTGATGGACAAAGGGGCTGTGGCGCAGCGGGCGGGCCGGCGAGCAGGAGCTGGCCCCAGTGCAGCACCCGTGGAGCAGGGGCACAGCCCTCCAGGGACCGCGGCAGGGGCCGGACTGGGGAGCAGGGTGAGGCTCCCCAGCTGCCAGCTCTGCTGATGCCCATCCCACTTCCCAGAAGCGTCACTTGAAGCCCTGTTGCCTGTTGTTCATCAGTGCAGCTGTGTCCGTGCTGTCCCCGTGCCACCACTAAGGTGACAGGCTCAAGGGCAGCAGCAGGGGCAAGCTTGGCATGGGATGCCAAGGGCATTGAGCAGCATGGCACGTGGCAGGGGACACAGTGGCACGTGTGCCCTGGGTATGATCCTAGCACCTCACATGTTCGTGCCAGTGATGCCAGGACCGATGCCGCCGGCACTGCCCACCACGGAGCGGCGGGGGCTGAGCATCAGGAGGGGCTCCAGGCAGCGGGCAAACTCTGCCCGGTACTCGCTGTTGATCTGGGGGGCAAGATGGGGTGAGCAGGGCCGGGGCCAGGGCAGAGCCTGCTGCAGGCAGGGACCCGGCCTGGGGTGGGTGGCAGGGATCCTCTACCTTGCTGGTCTGGGCCGGCCGCAGGCGGTGTGGCAGCTTCACGATCCTCTGCAGCCTCTCCATCAGTTGCTGAAAGGCAGTGGTGAGGCACAGTGAGGGGTGCCTGGCATGGTGAGGGGTGCCAAGCACCCCGCCCATGAGCTCAGCACCGCCACAGGGTGCTCTGGCCACCCCAAAGTACTGGCAACACTCACATAGCCCAGGTCCAGGAACTCGGCTTTGTTGGCAGAGCTCAGGAAGGCCGAGCAGGTCACCAGGTGGACCTGTGTATGTGAGCGGGTCTGTCACTGTCCAGCTCTGGGGGTCAGGACATCCCTGCCCGACGCAGGGCCCTACCTGCAGGGTGGGCAGCAGGGAGGCGAGGTGTGCAAGCTGCTCCTTGAATGCCTTCTCCTTCTCCTCATGCTGGCTGCAGCAGAGCGGGGCATGGCACAGCCTTTCCATGGCACCTGGGACCCACGCAGCCCCCCAGGCACCCCAACACACCCCGGAAAGGGGAGACACCCCGGGGAGGGGGCTCAGCCTGTGGTCCCTCACCTCTGCACAGCTTTCAGAAGCGTCTTCTTCCTCTCGGAGAGCTGCTCCTGCAAACAGCACAGCCACCGTGGGTCCTGCAGCCACCCCAGTCCCCTCGCGCTGCCTCAGCTCCGCCGTGCCCACAGGCTGGGCCCCCGTGGGCACCGTGTGCTGCCCCGCACCTGCATGCGGCCGAAGAGGGAGTTGATGGCCGCCTCCTCCTCGCTGGCGCTGTTGCGAACCTCCTCGATCATGGCCTTGAGCAGGACGATGGCCTCGCGGGTGGAGGTCTGCAGCTCCTTCACGGCCTGCCCGGGCGGCGGGGCGGCTGCAGCGTGGGGCACAGCACAGCACAGCCCTCGCCGCCCCCCGCGCCCCCCGGTCCTGCCCACCATCACCGCCTGGTCCAGCCGCTGGCAGCCCTGCATGTACGCCGTCTCGATGTCGATGCAGTGTGCCCGGCTCTCCCTGCAGGCACGGGCATCAGGGCATGTGGGACGGGGTGGGATGGGGTGGGACGGGGCGCAGGGTGGGCACGGGACCGGGGCCACTCACCCCTGCATGTCCCTGAAGCAGTTGATGCAGAGCATGGACTTCTTCTCGGTGGAGAACATGATGTAGGGCTCCTCGTGCAGCGCTGCAGGGGACAGGGGCATGGTGCAGCCTGGCACGGTGCTGCACAGCACAGGGCGGGGCGGCCTGGCACGGCACTCACGGCACTTCTTGTGGATGTCTTTGGTGCGCTTGGAGAGGGACACGATCTCGTGGCGGGCGAACATCCTGGCGTGGTGGGTCTCCTCACGGCACGGGGTACACAGGGGCTGCCCGCAAGTGTTGCAGAAGTACATGGTGTCCAGCTCCTGCGTGAGGGGACACGGCTGGCGGTGGGCACGGCCCCAGGGGGGGTCCTCTGTTCCTCACCCCTCCTGCCCACCCCGATGCCCTCACCGCCTTGGCGCAGCGCCGGTCGCAGTTGGCACACTGCACGTCCTCCTCGCTGTCGGCCGAGCTGTCCACCAGGAACTGCAGCAGCCGGTCCACGGGGGGCAGCCCCGTGCCCCCCCTCACCACCGAGGGGTGCCTGCGGGGACGGGAAGGGCACAGGGATGGGGACACTCACCCGGGGCCGGCGGGGCAGCGTTGGGGAGCAGGGGGGGCCCGTCCCTCACCCGCAGAGCGGGCAGCGCAGGCGGCCGTCGCTGGCGCGGCCCCGCAGGCAGCTGGCGCAGAAGTTGTGGTAGCAGTCGAGCAGGCAGGGGTGCTGGTAGGGCTCGTGGCACAGCAGGCACACCAGCGGGTGGCAGTTGGCCTTCTCCAGCTCCGAGCAGCTCCCCAGCGGGGAGAAGATGCCGCCCGCCATCTGCGGGACAGAGAGCAGAGCCCCGCGCCCGGCGGGCCCCGCGTGGCACCGCTTTGCACCAGCACCGCGGCTGCCACGGGAAGGACGAGCCCTGCCCCGGGACCTGCCGCCTATTTTTAGGTTATGAGCTGCACGGCACGAGGCTGCCCCAAACACGCC